CTTAATTGGTCATCCATACTTGTTGAAACAACCATACACACTCACCAATATTGCAACACACGTTTTCCCCTCATTAATTGTTCATTAAGTGTGTAGAAAGGTTATGAATAGTGGTGATCTCTAAATCCCAATATCTCTCTCTCATGTTTTCTCTATCCTTTAATCACTTGTTTTACATTAAGCTTGATTAGTTTAATTTTTAGCTTAATCAACCAAACCAATTACCTTTTGATCATTCGACCTACTCACCCTAATATTGTTTCCACACCTCAATACGACACCAATCCCTTGAGACAATCCTTACTTGCCCTTGCTATATTATTAGTAGTTAAAAGTAGTAGTGGCATTTATAAATGTAAAACTTGGCCACACTCATCTTAGTGCAAAAACATACTCTTCAAGCATTGGTGCAGCGACGACACGCCACCATCCCTCCTCGTAGGAAACATTCTCATCAATGTCCACATCAACCCAACTCAAAATGTGAGATGGATCCGGCTCGTACTTCCGTAGCATCGATACATAAAAGACATTGTGGACTTTGTCCATCTGCGGTGGCAAAGCAAGTCTGTAGGCAACCTCTCCTACCCGGTCCTAGATCTCAAAAGGTCCAATGAATCGTGGTGACAACTTGCCACTCTTTCCGAACCTCATTAACCCTTTCCGTGGAGAAACCCAAAGAAAAACGTGGTCTCCCACCTTAAAGGATAGCAGCCGTCTCCGCCTATCTGCATAACTCTTTTGTCAGCTCTGAGCTGTGAGAGCTTAATCTTCTCAGTAGTCTCGAGTACCATGTTGGGTCCTAAAGCGGCTGTCTCGCCCACCTCAGTCCAACAAACAGTAAACCTACGAGGTCTACCATACAACGCCTAAAATGGAGCCATCTGAATACTCACCTGATAACTGTTGTTGTAAGCAAACTCAATAAGTGGAAGGTGATCCTCCCAACTACCTCCCAAATCAAGTACACATACTCGAAGCATATCCTCCAAGATCTGGATAGTACACTCCGACTAGCCGTCCGTCTGTGGATGGAATGCTGTACTAAGATGCAACGATGAACCAAATGCTGCATGAAGTCCTTCCCAGAACTTCAAAGTAAATTTGGCATCTCGATCTGAAACAATAGCCACTTGAACTCTGTGCAACTTCACAATCTCTTTCACATACAAAACAACAAGTGCCTCTGCGTCATCTGTTGCCTTAGTAGACAAAAAATGAGCCGTCTTGATTAATCTATCAATAATGACCCATACGGCTTCATTTCCCCTCCATGATCTAGGAAGACCTGTTACAAAATCCATTACAATCTGCTCCTATTTGCACTGTGCTATAGTTAATGGTTGCAACAAACCGGCTGGTCTCTGATGCTCGGCCTTCACCTGCTGACAGGTAAGACATCTAACCACAAACTGTGCAACATCTTTCTTCGTTCCATTCCACCAATACTGACGTCTCATATTGTGATACATTTTAGTACCACCTAGATGAACTGCAAAGCGGGAAGTGTGAAATTCCTGTAAGACGTCTTCACGACACCCTGTGGAAACAACCAATAAGCCTCTGTACCGTAGACCTCTATTTGCATGTAAGGTCCAATCTTCCACTGTCTCACCATTGGAGATCAAGGTGTAAATGGCATCCAAATTAGGATCCTGTCTCTGCGACTCAATCACTCGTCTGACAAGAGTAGGATGAGCCACAAGACTAAACCAGAATGCCGACTCACAGTAAGTATCATCATCAAAACACTGCAATCCCATTTCTGCCAAATCCTCAAGCATCTTCCATTTCTGAATAGCCAAACTGGCCAAAGCCCCACGAGATTTCCGGTTTAAGGCATCTGCTACGACATTTACCTTGCCTGAATGATACTGCAAGTCAAAATTGTAATCTTCCAAGAACTCAACCCATCACCTCTATCTGTTGTTCAAGTCCTTTTGGGAGAAAAGGTACTTGAGACTCTTGTGAACAGAGAACACCTTGAATCTCTCACCATATAAGTAATATCTCCAACACTTCAAAGCAAACACGACTGCCGCTAACTCTAAATCATGAGTAGGGTAGTTAAGCTCGTGAGTCTTCAACTGTTGAGACCCATGAGACACTACTCTACTATCCTGCATCCACACACAACCCAAACCATCACGTGAAGTGTCACAATAGATCACATAACCCAAGCCACGCTTGGGTATCACCAACACTAGAGCTGTAGTAAACTTTATCTTCAATTCCTGAAAGGATGACTCACAGGCTTCATTCCATGTAAACTTGATCCCTTTCCAGGTCAAGCGAGTCATAGGCGCTGTCAAGCGAGAAAAATCCTTCACAAATCTTCAGTAGTAACCCGCTAAACCAAGAAAACTGCGGATCTTAAACACATTATTGGGAACTGCCTCTATCTTTGATGGATCAACCGATACTCCACCTTCTGAAAACAACATACCCCAAAAACTTCACCTCTTATAACCAAAACTCACACTTCTCATATTTGGCATACAATCAGTGCTCCCGCAAAATCTGCAATACAATACTCAAATGGATCTCGTGCTCCTCCCAAGTCCGTGAATACACAAGAATATCATCCACGAAAACTACCACAAACTAGTCCAAGTAATCGTGAAAGACGTGATTCATCAAGTCCATAAATGCCGCTGGCACATTAGTTAAGCCAAAAGGCATAACAAGGAACTAGTAATGTCCATACCATGTACGGAACGCTGTCTTTAGGATATCTTTATCCCTAACCCGCAACTGATAGTAGCCTGACCTCAAGTCAATATTTGAAAAACAACTGGCTCCCCTCAACTGGTCAAACAAATCATCTATTATTGGCAAAGGATACTTGTTCTTGACGGTGGCATGATTCAACTTCCGGTAATCAATGCACAACCTCAAAGAACCATCTTTCTTCTTAGCAAACAAGACCAGTGCACCCTACGGTGACACACTAGGTCGGATGAAACCTTTCATCCTCAAATCATCAAGCTATCTCTTCAATTCTTCCAACTCCATTGGTGCTATACGATATGGTGCCATAGAAATCGGTGCAGTACCGGACATCAAATCAATAGTAAACTCCACTTCTCGGTGTGGAGGTAACTCTGTCAAGTCCTCTAGAAAAACATCCAAAAAAATCACGAACAACTGTCGAATAAACCTCTTATACAACATCATCTCCTTCGGCTAAAAGACTAGCCAAGAAGTAATCACTACGACTCTGTCCACGAATTCCATACAATGATAAAGGTTGGGAATCACTTCGATCTCCCATAAAAAAGAAGCAATTTCCCTTGGGAGTGCAAACTGTAACTCTTCTTCTGAAACAATTGTGATGACCTTATGGGCGGGTGCGAGAGACACTGTCAGGCTACCACACTGGCGAGTTACGGGTGCACAAGTCCCACATCGCCTGGCTAGAGGAAATGTGAAGTGCTTATATGTAAGTGCATCATTTCCAATTGGTATGAGGCCTTTTGGGGTGAAGTCCAAGGGCAAAACCGTGCGGGCTAAGGCCCAAAGCGGACAATATCATACCATGTGGTGGAGTGGGTCGTTACAAATGGTATCAGAGCCTAACCTAGCCGAAAGTGTGCCGACGAGGACATCGGGCCTCCAAGGGGGGTGGATTGTGATGACCTTGTGGGCGGGTGCGAGAGACACTGTCAGGCTACCACACTGGCGAGTTACGGGTGCACAAGTTCCACATCGCCTGGGTAAAGGAAAGGTGAAGTGCTTATATGTAAGTGCATCATCTCTAATTGGTATGAGGTCTTTTGGGGTGAAGCCTAAGAGCAAAACCGTGCGGGCTCAGGCCCAAAGCGGACAATATCATACCATGTGGTGGAGTGGGTCGTTACAAATGGTATCAGAGCCTGACCCAGCCGGAAGTGTGCCGACGGGGACGTCGGGCCTCCAAGGGGGTGGATTGTGATGACCTTGTAGGCGAGTGCGAGAGACACTGTCAGACTATCACACTGGCGAGTTATGGGTGCACAAGTCCCACATCGCCTGGGTAGAGGAAAGGTGAAGTGCTTATATGTAAGTGCATCATCCCCAATTGGTATGCGGCCTTTTGGGGTGAAGCCTAAGAGCAAAACCGTGCGGACTCAGGCCCAAAGCGGACAATATCATACCATGTGGTGGAGTGGGTCGTTACAACAATCAATTGTGGCATGAAATGAAGCTAACCAATCCATCCCGAGAATGACATCAAAGCCAGTCATCTCATAGAGGATGAGGTCAAACACAAAAGTCCGCCTGGCTATCACGATGGAGCAATCCCTCACAATTCTGCTCAAAGACACTGAAACCCAAATTGGCGTATCAACACATGACACCCGATCCATGAAACTAACCTTTAACCCCGATGCAAGTGCAAATGATGATGAAATGAAGGAATGATATGCACTAGAGTCAAACAAAACATAGGCCCAAGAACCAAACACTGGAAATATACCTCGAAAAACTGATGGACTAGAAAATGCATCAGCTTGTGCAAGTGCAAAGACATGTCCCTGTGGTGCATGTGCCTGAGAACTGCCAACCTGAACACCTGACTGCTGCACTGACACAGTAGGAGTATCCCTCCTAGTTGGTCGTGAACCCTGAGAAAAGATGGCAGGCTGTGGTGGTGGTGGTGGTCTAAAACCTAACTGAACTGTAGCCGACTATGACGGCCTCTGCTATGACCTTCTGCCACTACCGGTGCCTACTCCACATTTAGGACAATCCAGAATCAAATGGCCTTACTGGCCAAACCCAAAACAAGCTCTTGATTGTGTAGAAATTGTGGTCGAGTTCATAGGACATCTGGACTTGTAATATCCAAGCTACTGACATTGATAACAAATAACTCCACTCTTATCAAACCCAGCTGGTATAGGAGTAGTAGGAGCGGATCGTGCAGACTGCAACCCTTGAAACTGAGATAAACTACCCATGTTCCTCTTCCATAACTGCCTTTCTAAAGATGGTCCTGCATTTATCTTTTTCTTCCACTATTCCTTTCCTGCATTTCTATCTTTAGCTTCCGCCTCTAGCATCAATACTCTTTCCACTGCCTCCAAATAAACTTTAAAGTACTGTGCCATTATCAACGGCCTCATTTTGTAATCAAGACCGGAAACAAACTTTCGAGTCTTATCAACCTCATTTCTCACTGACTTAGGAGTAAAGCGAAAAAAAGAAATGAACTTGTTCTCGTATTCCGTCACTGACATATTACCTTGGATAAGGCCATTAAACTGTTCCCATAGCTCCCACCTCTTGGTAACTGAAAAATACTTCTCATAAAACAGTTCCTTGAACATGTCCCAACTCATCTCCTCAACCTTGTGCTGATTAGTAACTGACTTCCACCAAAGCTTAGCACCCTTTGAAAACTTGTAAGTGGCTAGGATGATTTTTAAGTGATCATCTGTCACATCCATAGAAGTCAAATGGGTTTCTATTTGATCCATGTAGTCGTCCGCTGCCATTGGATCTGCACCACCCTCAAACATCACTGGCATCAACTTGGAAAATCCTGTAATAATCTTAAGACGTTTCTATGCTGACGTCTCTTCTGCTTGAATTACCGATTATGGAAGAGTAGCAATTGTAGCCCTCAAGTCACTCTGCAACAGATGATTCAGTACCAGCTCAGCTGAGCCTTCACCCGCTTCAACGGGTGCTTCAACATTATCCCTTCGTGTGGAGACACCTCTGGGGGGAACCAAATCCCTAAGAAGTGTGTCCTCCTCGACCTGCTCCATTGGATTGGAGCTAGAACTTTCACCAATATTTCCTTTTGTCGGCCTAGGGCCAACTTCCCTTGGTTCCTTTCGCGGTGGCATTGTGCTATAAGACAAGAAAATGGTTCAATAATAATAACACTAAGGTCCAACCGTGAACAATTCAACATAAAAGGATACTGCACAAACACTTAGCTTGCAAGACTATGCAATGAACACATTAATATAAGCATATAAGCACATAATCACGTAAGCAAGTAAATAGTTAAGTATGTTTTTTCACATAGCAAAACACTTTTGTAAATAATGAAATAACAATGCAAATGACTTCCTATACAACCCTAGGTAGGCCTCTGCCCGTCGTCCTAATGGTTTTCGAACCAATGCTCTGATACGAAATTTGTAATGACCCTAAAAAGATACCATTATAAAATAAAAATAAAAATTCGGCATAACCTCTACTAAAAAGGGTCCTACAACAACCTGCTTAAATGCATAAAAAATACAATGGCCTCTCTTGAACCTTTAAAACTTATCTAACCTGTCCCAACACACTGCAAATAATATATTTCCAAAACAACAACATTAACAACCTCTTCAAAATAGCCCATCATCATCATCCCATTCATCTAGAACAAAGGAGTACCTGTCTTATACATAGTCCCAAGCTTACATACTATAATTTTACTCCCATGAAGCAAAATTACAATAACAAGAGTTCATAAGTCTCTATACTGAATATAACAAACTATGGTTTTACAAAAAAATGATGGGACTTAGATACAAAAATAACAAAATGATCTTCTAATCCATACTAGGCCTGTGGTGGAAAGTCATCCGCTACTTCTTTTTCATGACCTAAAAAATGTTAAATATAAGGGGTGAGCATTTTGCTCAGTAGGTGGTGCCTAAGACATACCTTTTGTGACCCCGTGAATCCAAACAATGAATAGAAATATAAAAAACGGAATCATGCTATGTCGGGAGAAAATACAACAATTACAAGGCCAGAATGGACAACGTGATTCTATGGAATGCTATGCCATACTATGTCGCTCTCCATTTTTAAAATCTCTTCCATTTCTTCACTTTTCAAACCGTTAACGTAACCCGTCCCTCAGTGACCCCTTGGCGACGTGAGAGAAGGATTGGCTACTGTCCCTGACCCTTGGTAACCCCGCGGCGTCATTTGGGGCCGAGATAACTCAACCACGCTAGAGCGATTTTTTTAGTTCCTTCTAGGTTACATTAACGCCATGGACCCTTGGTACTCCTTTGGCGTCCGAGTTTTTCACAAAACTCTTTAATCAAAACTTTATCCCAAGAATTCCACTTTTTTCATTTCAAAACAATTTTTTCCTTTTTCATACCCAATGCTATGCATGAATGTCTCATATATCTCAATATTGTACAAATAGAGAAATTCATGCTCATCAAGTTATTATTCAATAATATACATGCTTTAGAACATAAAAATTTCTAAAATTATATTTCATATTTTCTAATCACCAAACTAGCACTAAAGACACAAAAGGCTTAAATTAATCAACAATTAACATGCTTCGTAAGAAATGTTTTTTTATTTTATTTTATTTTATATAATTCATGTTTTATTATCACATAAACATAACAATTTAATACCATGGGCATGAAAATTCAGCAATTAAGCATACTTTCATTATCATATATCACATAAAACATAGCCATGCCTTTTTCACATAGCAAGTAAGTAAAATCTACATGGAATTTCACAATTTAAGCATGCTAAAACACAATTTTTTTTAGAAATTAACTCACAAAAGCCCATGAATATGCGAATTAGAGATTCCTAACTCTTAGGATGCAAAATGGATCAAAAAATTCGAAATCCTTAGAGTTGGCCAAACAAGGAATTGTTTATATCCATGCATAAATCTCGTCGTGCTCTCCGATTTGCCGCATATGGCACCCAAAAATACCAATTGGTGAAGGAGAAATCAAGGATTAAAGTTTGTAGGAAAAAGAAAAGAAAAAAGAAAATAATAAAGAAAAAGAGAAGCTCAGTCGGGGAGAGAGAAAGAAATGGGGCCAAAGTCCTCTTGGCCACCAATAAATAAAGTGGTGGGTCCCACCACTTTTTTATTTTATATATATATATATATATATATATATATATATATATATATATATATATATATAATAAATCATAACATTACAACAATAGTGACATAATTTTATTTTCTAATTCATTTCAGAGCAACTCTTAATATAGAAACTATAAATAAATTAAAATTTTATAGTACTAGAATATATGTATAAAAATAAAAATTTATATTTATATGTAACCGTGTCTACGTCATATTCATGTCTTACTTTTTAAAAATTTGACGTGTCAACGTATCCGTGCTACACAGATAATAAGTAATTGGTATAGTTTTCTGTCCAATTTTCCTTCCTTCATATAAAAATAATTCTTTGATACACAAAAAAAAAAAAAAAAAAAAAAAAAAAAAAAAAAAAATGTCAAGAACTCGAAAAATAGAACTATTTTCAAAGAATTATAAATGTCAAATCTATGAAAATAGAGATTTTTTAGAAAACAATTGTCAAAAAATTGAGTATGCAAATTTTTGTACAATTTTCTTACTTTCAGTTATCAAAAAACAAAAAATTATTCTGTAAAGTGAACCAACGAACCAAGTATTGCCAAGGAGTTTTTGGTAATCATGATTTGAGAGCTATATTAAGTGTAAAAAAAGTAATTGATGACATTATTTTTCTAAAACATAATAAATTATGAAAAATATTAACTTCTTTGAAGTAGTTTTTCTTTTTATTGGGATTAGAAAGGATAAACGAATACATATAAACATAAATAAAAAATTATATATGGAAACTTAAAAAAAAAAATTGCATTGATAAAAGAAAAGAAAAGAAAAGAGAAGATTAAATTAAATGTGATTTTTTTTTTTTTTTTAAAGGCTTTGAACACTTAACACCCCACTAAGACGACGCAAACCCTAACCCTACTGCCTTGGTGATAGAAAATCCATATACCCGTAACTGAAAAGTACGGGGAGCACTCAGAAAACCCTTACGGTCGTCGTCTCTCTGTAGGTAGCATCAGGTCATCAACAATGGTAAAACCCCGTCTCTCTCTCGATTAATCTTAATGTTTCTCTCCTACTAATGTCTGGAAGTTGAGAACGAAGAGGAAATGAAAAAAAATTCTCTCTCATAATATTATTTTGATCTAACCTACTTAACATGGCCATCAACCCTTTCGTGACCAAAATTCAAATCTGAAGTACCTTAATTGAGAAAATAAATCATTCATGCTATATATATATACACACACACACACACACTCACCCACGCACACAGACATTTTGAGTTGATGTATTTAGTATAGATATTCTGGTAGTAATGGATGAATCGTTCATAGGAGTTAACTGGTGTGAAATTTAGCATACCTTATTACCAATATACGAGATGTTACTTTTGGTTCATGTAGATTTCAGTTTTTTGACACCTGAGATTGAATTCTGATAGAATTTTGTAATTCTATAGCTTGTTCTACTGGAAAAATGGAAGAAAGATTGATTGCCTATAAACAAAACCGAGCTATTGGTTTGCTATATGCCCAAAATCGATTGCTTGTAAATGCAAACTTTGTACACTTTTGAAGCTCTTCTTGGATATTTTCCCATTATTATGCTAATGCTAATTGTATTCTATAGTCCATGTTATTTTGAACATAGTCTGTTCTAACTAGTAATGACTACAATAAGCATAAAAGTGATTGATATGTCCATGAGTGTTGAACTGTTGGTATTGGGAAATTGGATGACGATAATATTTTCACCTTCTATTTGATTAACTTGTTGATCCTTTTTGACCCTGAATTTCTTTGTTCATAGAATTTCCATTAGTTTGGATTGAACTTATTGAATTGAATCAGTTCTATTGCCTTTCCCTTTTTGAATTCAACTGTTGTTTGATGCTTTGAACCAATTAGCAAAAGTTGCGTTGTTTGTTACCTCTTAGTAAGTAATAATACTTGAAGTTGGAGGTGTATATTTTGAGCTCATTTTTGGAGTTGGATGTGATCTACAACTCATGGTCAGACCCTGATGCCCTGCATATTTGTTTTCCTAGCTGACTTGAACTGATCTAAGTTGCTGATTCTTGCAAATATCTGCAATTGGACACATCGAGTGCCGTCTAGAAATCATGGGTTGGACCTGATATATTTAGTGTGCACAGAATCGTTAATAATTTGCAAATATTGTAGATTTTTTTTCTTTTTTTATAAGTAAGATATTGTAGATTTTTGGAACTTGTAACTGCTTTTTCATTGTTGACGTCAACTGGCAATTTGGTGTGCCTCTAGATCATCTCTTGTTAATTATTAATGGAAGTAGAGGCATTGTTCTTTCAGTAGTGTGTCTTGTCCAGCCATTGATTTCTGTATGGTTATGGATTTTCTTTTTCTTTATACAGGTAATTGTTTTTCAATTTTTTTAATTTCTACTTCTTTTGAATGGGTGGGGGTTGTGTCCATCACCCCTTATATATATATATATATATATATATATTCCTTTTATTTATGTTTTATTTTGAAGAGGTAGTTTCTGAAGTCATAAAAGCCAAGGAAGTAATGGTCAAATTTGTGTTGGTCCCATACTTAAAGTACATCGTATTGACATATTAATTTCAATTTGGTTAATAAAAAGATGCTTTTTCCTTTGTCTCTTTGATGTTGGACAAGGGAGCAGCCTTAAATATTTAAGAACTTAAAGAATTCAGAGGCTGAAAGTTCAAAGAACTAGGGCTGAAATTTGGGATGTTTGATAGTAGAAATGTAGGAAATCAAGAAGAATAGAAAACAAGTGCCTATTGGCATCACACCAACAGGGTCAGAAAAATAGATTATGGTTCAAGAGAGATAAATGATTTGAAAATAAGAAAAAGCCTATTGGCATCACACCCAGAAAACAAAAAAAACCTATTGGAATCACCCCAACAAGCCTAGGTATCACACCCAGAGAAGTCCTCACACCCTCGGAATTCGTGAATCACTCACAAATAAATCTCAATGGATATTTTTATTCATTCATTCACTGCCTCACCAAGTTTACATCATACCCTTCTTATAGCAACTTATAACCCTGAGATTACCCCATGATTGAGGTAATAAAAAGTTGACTCTATAGCATAAAAAAAGTAATCACTCCATAATTGAGGTAATCAATATTTGACTCTATTATTACCCCACAATTAGGGTAATCAATACTTCCCTAATAGCATAATTAAAGTAACTAAAAGTTGACCAAATCTCCCAATTATTCAAAACTCCATGTGGACCCATATTATCTAGCGTACGCCAGCTCGAATATTAGAATCCTCCTTTTGGCGAATTTTATACACCTTTAAAAATTTTTGCCATTGATTTCCATCACTCTTTATTCCCCCTTCTAAGGTTGGGCTAGGAGTCATCAGTTCCCAAAGATTCTTTGTGTGTGTGGAAAAGGAGGGGGGATGCTCCATTTTCCAATATTAGAAGTGCTGGATTGATATAGATTGAAAATCAGTTGCACATAATTCTATCATATTTGAAAAGATATGGAAGCTGGAATTTGTGGCACTTCAACATTATTCTCCTTTGACTACTTATTGAATTTCTCAGGCATCTCTCTACAATCAGCTTTTACAGCCGCCAGCAGGGATTTATATTTAACAGTGATATTGTCTGTTCAATACGGTGGAAGTATATAAAGTTGTGTATATCATCATCTTAGCACGTCTGCCAGACCCTCATTGGGCTTTCCTTTATTATACAACCCTGTATACTAGATTTTCTCAATAAGGCACTAGTCATTAGTCATTACATATGTAGCAAACAGCTGCTTATGATGGCAGCATGGCAAAAATAAGTTGTTGTATGGAAGAGAAAAGGTTGGTCAAAAGGTATAAGATTTGTAGTGGTGGAAATTCTAAGAGCTTTATATGGTATAGCTTCAATCCACCCCCACTCCAAACGTTCAGTTGTGGTTCAGATGGGTCATTGCTAAAATGAATCGAATTCTATCAGATATTTATATTTCTCCTTTGAAATACTCGTATATATATATATCCTATAACTTTCATTTCACAGTAGAAACTATTCTAGGAGAACTTTGAATCAGTTCCGTTCAGATGTTGATTGCTCTAGTCTTGGTTTGACATGGTTTACTCGTTACTGGTTCTGGAAGAGTGGAAGAGTTACTCTCTCCATTAGCTAAACCATTTCTTCTACGTACACAATCAACTGAGGGCTCCTTGACATGTATTGCAACGTCTCCAATAAGCATGCTCCATGAGCTAACTTGTGTGTTTCATGGAATTCTTATGAATTGTGAGTGTGTTATGATTTTTTGTATTACGTTTCCATTGATTTTATTGGTTCCCTTTGTTTTTTCTAAGTTCTTAGTTAACTATGAGGTGTCTATAATATTGAAACTTCTAGGTGAGATCCCTATCATTTTTATTTCCTAGTTTTTAGATGCAAAAGCAAGAATGAAAATGCTCTGTTACCAGATTGCACATTTTTAGCATTCATTTTTCCTATTTCCATTTTGTTGTAATATGATCTGTATCTTGCAGGTGAACGTTCCAAAGACAAAGAAGACATATTGCAAGTCTAAGGAATGCCGGAAGCACACCTTGCATAAGGTTACGCAGTACAAGAAGGGAAAGGATAGTTTGGCTGTGCAGGGCAAGCGCCGGTATGATCGAAAACAGTCAGGTTGTGGTGGACAAACCAAACCTGTTGTCCACAAGAAGGTAAAACCTATTTCTATTATGTCTCTTTACTTTACAAGGTATATATCTTATTTGAAATGACCCTCATCCATGTTTTAACTAACCTATGCACTTCTTTCCCCATGAAGGTCCTATCTTATAAATTTAGCCTTTGTATGGTTGGTAGAGACTGTAGGAAAACTTACAACAATGCTTTCTCTGTGTAGGCGAAAACTACAAAGAAGATTGTGCTGAGGCTGCAATGCCCGGGGTGCAAGCATGTATCACAGCACCCAATCAAGGTTAGCTTCTTAACTTCCATATGCTCTTTTGTTTTTGATTCCTTAAGTGTTACTTTCTTGTTCTTTATGGACATGTGATTGTTGCCCTTTTATTGCAGAGGTGCAAGCATTTTGAGATTGGTGGAGATAAGAAGGGGAAGGGTACTTCTCTTTTCTAAGTGGCAGTTTTATGGAGTATCATCCTGGTCTTATTGCTGTGCTATGTTTCTTGACCTAAGGTTTAACTTTCAATTTGAATGCTTCTGTTTTTATGCTTGTTTTTACTTTTTGAAATGGATAGATATACCTTGCATACTTGAAGGGCAATGTAGCTTGGATTAAGCTATCGAGATTATGAATATAAAAATGGATTTTAAATTTCAGTATTTAGCAGGCAGGTTCTATAAAAATCTCGATAAATCTAATTGGTTTGTGTTGCATTGTCTATTCGGCTTTCTTATTTGTTGTCATAGGCTTTTGTGTACTGAGCCTTGCTACCCTATCTGTGCCATGATAATACCTTCATTTGTATATTTGTGCTTATATATATATACATATTTATATTGATTACTGTAGTATGATTGTTTTTGCTTTTCTTTATTTTTTTAGGTAAATTGTTTTTTATTTTTATAGAACTACTCTTATAATTTGAGTAATAGGGAAAAAGAATAAATGATGAAGAAGTTTTACGTAATTATGGGTGGTACCCTCTACGCACAAATGCATTGATAAGGGGTCACCAAAATGATGATTAATTTTTGAATTCAAATCTGGTGAAAAAGAATATATGAAGAGTGGATGTGTGAGTTATTTGTCATGAAAAAAAGGCATTTTTTTCCTTGAAAAAAATTAGTTTTTAACGTTTTATTTTTATTATACATACATATACATACATATATATATATATATATATATATGTATATATGTATATATAGACATACGGAAATGATCTCTTGCTCAACGGTGAGCAAGAAATTCGTCCACATGTATGGATATGTTTTTGCATCTGAGTGCTTCCTTTTAGGAAAATTGTTTCAAGTATTTCTATTATCTCTTTCTAGGAAGGTTTCTCTCTCCCTCCATGCCCATTAAAATACTATCTGTGCACATTTTCTAATATGGAGTACTTAAAGTTGTACATTTAAAATTATATGGGTGAATTATCCTGACCTCCTCACGTTTTCATCCTCAGACAAAAACCTTTTGAAAAACCAGTGTCCCCGGTTAAAATTACAGAAAAAACCGTGTAAATGTTTGTAATGACTTGTACTCCCATCACTTAAGTGAGTTGCTGATAGTTGGAAATTCTCTAAAGTCCTTGCACATCCTTAGGTGACCTAACACATCAAAACTCAATGTTAGATGGATATTCCAAAACAAATTAATTGACTTCTTTCCATAGTTGTTGGTTGTGTTTTTCTCCGGTTGAAAAATCTGAGTGCGACAGATAAACATACATCCGTCATTTTTAGTGAGTGGAGTCTTATTTTTGACTTGTTTGGAGAGTGTTAGAGAGGGTGTTTCGTGTGATCCCACACTCCTGATTTTTGGAGGGTGGCACCCTTTTGTGTTTGGTGGTGTGTTTGGAAAAAGCGGAACAAAAGATCCTTTGATGGGGAAGCGGAACAGGTTTCTATTGGACACTTTCTAATATATTTTTACTTATTAAAAAAAAGAAAAAAAAGAAGAAGAAGAAGCATGCGTCCACACAAAACACTAGAAACCTGATTGCACTCCTATGTGCCATTTTATTGGCACAAGCTTGTTTGAGATTATAAATGGATCTTTTAAGCTTAAATACTTGATTTTCTTCTCCTTTAGAAATGAATCCTTCAGGTTGTTTCATTTAAATATCTTCATACGTATTTAGGAACTGCTTCTACATCCATTTAATATAATCTCATAGTCATTGTATGCAATAATTGTTAACAATGTCCCAATGGATTTCAGCATTGATACGAGCGAAAAGTTTTTTCATAGTCAATATCCTCGTCTTCTTCATTTAGCCTTTTGTTACTCCCCTTCTTCATTTAGCCTTTTGGTCTACAGATAAGTAAATGACAAATTGCAAATATAAGCTGCCGCACAAGTATGAATACACCGAAAACTATTAGACCTAACAATTATGTTGGTTTTCATCGTGAAAATTTGAGATATACCTTCTAAAGGTCTGTCCTTTATAGATGGTTATTCCAATAAAGTGTGTGCCAAACAAACTTCGGATAGACTTCCATTACTTATTCTACTGCACATGTGAAACTTTCGTTAATATTCATATTCTGTTTCTTCTCTCCATGTATTACCAGTCTAAAACCATATATTACTAGCCTAAAACCAAATCTACAATGACAATGTTCAATACAGTGATTTATAGACTCTACGCACCTGAGATTGATGAATTTTGTAATGTGAAATCTTCATTGGGTCATTCCAATGGTTTAAAACCACCTTTAATCGAATGCTGCATCAGTGTGTTGTATGATAGTGTGTTGTATGATACTGTGTTGTACGGAGTAATAAAGTTATAAGTACATTAAAACCTCTGAACTATCAACCAAAAGCACAAAACCCCCTGAACTAAGTTAAGGCCCCCTGAACTATGTAAAAAGTGCAATTTAAGGGCGAAATTAAAAGTTTCGGTCATCGGAGGTCGCCGGAGATGTTAGGATTACCAAATTGCCCTTTAATTAAATAACTTAGTTTGGTTGTTTGAGTAGCTGTTGTTGCTAATGTGTCAAGTGCAATCTCAACAACCAATAGCATTGTGGCATCACATCACCTTATAACAATTGCACCTAATTTTTAGGCCAAACACCACCTTATTTTAGCGCTAATCAACACCGACACCTCCTAGCCAAACAACTTAGTTAACCATCTCCATCGTCCACGGCAGCCGCCACCTGTGTTTTTTTTTTTTTTTCACTTGTTGAAACACTATCCCTAGCTCATTCCATCGCAACATAGCAACTAAAAGGATCGAAATCTACTCTAATCTTGAGACTCTGAGACTCTTGATTCCAGATAATTCACGTATAGTGCGAACATGGTTTGGGTGACCTGGGTTCTCTGGCAGCATTGCGTATGTGTATGTATGTGTATATATATGTATATATATGTATATTTGGAGGTGAGAACATTGCCCCCTGCACTCCATTAAATCCGGTAAGCAAACACCAAACACCACCCCAAAACTCCGGCCACCAATCACCACCGGTCGCTGCTTGTTCCCTCCAATTTTCAGCCATTAAATCCGGCCACCAAGACACCCAAAAACAATACATAGATTTGAGAATCCATTAATTAAGAATTTCTTTGTCTTCATTGAGTTTAATTTTGGCTTTTATGTATGTATCAAAATTAAAGCATTGAGAGGTAGACCAAAAGAATCTTTAATTGTGAGTACTTTAGTTGTTTGGGGAGGAGATTTTGGATGTGGAGTCGAGAGGGATATATATTGTTCTTTTACCACCACCACCATCTTTGCCGCCATCCCACCCCACCATTACCATCTCTGCTGTCATAGTCTCTCACAAGCACTCCTCTCCCTCCCATCAAAATGGATTTAATGATATCTATGTATATGATGTGTGTATATACAAATTTGAGGAGTGAATCCTGTTTGAAAGTCGATCCAAATCTTGTTGATGTGTGTATATATACAATTTGAAATTGCTCCGATTCCTTATCAAGATCAAAATGAAACCCAATTGATTCACACCCAAGTTAGGTCTGATGATTGTTGATAGGGTTGCAGAGAATGAGAACTGAGAGATATGCGATTTGGAAGGAATGAAAGCTAATGGGAGTTAGGGTTAACAAATTGGGGGGTTTAATTGATTTAATATTGAAATGGTAGTAAAGGTAATATTGTCATTTCAAAATTATGTTTCACAGGAAAAATCAAACTGAATGGTGACATGGTGTGTTTTTTTGGCAAAAAGTGAAATAGTATAGGGGTTTATTGTAAAAATGGAAGTTCAAGTGGTTTTTTGGAAAATAGAGTAAAAATTAAGGGGGTTTATTGCACTTTACCCTAAAGTTATAGAATAACTGAGAAATCATAGCTAAGTATTACTGGACAACTTAGCCTCATGACATAATATTTTGGGTAAACCTAATAGTGTAATTAATAAAATACATATATAATTTACACATGTAAGCAACATAGTAATAAAATTCAAAATAATACTCCGTAATAAATAATAAAAAAACTAATAGAGTAAATAAATATAGACTTTCGTGAGCATTTATCTCTAACAAATTTTTACATAATTACTGGTATAAAAATAGTTAAGCAGATCATGTCACACATAAACAGACTTCAACCATATCTCCATACCAAAATAAATAAATAAAACACACTTCAACCATAGTTAAACGATTTTCAGCAAAACACACCAACGGTATTCACACTCGAGCAGAAAAAGAATATGGGAGAAAATAAAGTCAGTGCATTATAGCACAAACAGTAAATCATATATGAAACTTCCAATTTTGGTGTCCCCAAATAAGTTGCATATCAGCATTTGGTGCCCCTTCAATTAGTCAACAGTTTCGAAATCCTAGAACCCCTAGTTACCTCCTGACAAAGACCGTAGCCAAACTCTCCACTAGAATCTCTAGACCCTCGGTCCGCTCCATCAACTTATATCTGCTTCTCTAGATCCCTCGTCCCAAACGCTTTGATCTCCGTGTTAAAACAACACTAGTTAATCTAACACATATATGTTTACTCACCAATCTAGTGTGAATGATGAATACATATGATGCATGCATTCCCTGTATGTTATCTTTTTTAAATAATAGTTGATCAATTGCAACTAATTTGATACTAACTAACTTTTTAAATTCAAACTAAAAATATATTAGAAACTCAAAATTTGGACACGAAATTTGCCAACCTAAATCCTATTGTCCTAATAAGGTGGAAAATTATATGGTAGAAACTAGAAAAAATGTGGTTATCCATGTGGTCATTTTTTTCATAATATATAAAGTTTTTTTTTTAACAAATATAGTATGCAATAATTGTTAACAATGTCCGAATGGATTTCAGCATTGATACCAGCGAAAAGTTTTTTCATAGTCAATATCCTCGTCTTCATCATTTAGCCTTTTGTCACTCCCCTTCTTCATTTAGCCTTTTTGGTCTCTAGATAAGTAAATGACAAATTGCAAATATAAACTGTCGCACAAGTATCAATACACCGAAATCTATTAGACCTAACAATTATGTTGGTTTTCCTCGTGAAAATCGTGTAAGAGTAAATAAATATAGAGTTTTGAGAGCATTTATCTGTAACAATTTTTTACATCATTACTGGTATAAAAATAGTTAAGCAGATCATGTAACACAAACATATTTCAACCATAACTCCATACCAAAATAAATAAAT